AGAATTTCATCCACACTTTTTAAAAGGGACCTTTTGCAGAAGCAAAACAAGATGAACACATGAGAAATTAACCAGACTAGAAATAAACTGCTTTGCTCCAGGTCAGCCCTTTCAGAAGGCAATAAAGGGGCCACCTCAGGTGATAGATTCTGGAGGACAAAGAGTGGTGGTGAGATGCTAGAGCATAGAGCTGTAATGTGCATTATATAGCATATACAGCATCTGCTTCATTCAGGTTTAGTCGAAGCAACCAGCACTGCCAATCTGGTCAGCATCTGTATACTGAGTTGTAGGATAAACATTCTGTTTTTATTGCCAAAAACAGCAACATGTCTTAGGAAACCCACCATAACTAAAAGTCCTTTCTTCAAAGAAAAAGGCATTTACTCTCCACTCCCTCACACAATGTAGCTGTTGTAGGAAACCTACATTTATCTCTCATTCCCTAAAATGGGGGGAGAGAAGAAACCAATACTATACAATGTGCTAACCTAGCCCATCCAATCCCTCCCCACAGCCTACTTCAAGCTCAGCATATCCTGGGTTCTGGGGTTATCCTTCTCACCTTCACTGAGTAGGCCAAAGAGATTGTGACAGCAAGAGGCAAGCCCTCAGGTACAGCCACAACTAGCACAGTGACCCCAATGATGAAGAACTTGACGAAATACTGGATGTAGATGGGAGTACATTCAGCCAGCCATGACCTTCCTTGAATCCCAAAGGTGTCGATCACAAAATACAGCACCAGGATAATAACTGTGATGGCTGACATGATCAGTCCTGAGGAGCAAAGAAAAAAAAAAGAAAAACTGGGTGAGGATGGGCAGATCTACAGCACAACACATACCGACTACCACAGCCTTAACATGAAGGGAGGCCTCTGGTCTGGATTAAGGCACATTCCTCAGACCACCCTTCTCCAATCTGATGCTCTCCACATCTTTAGGCCCAGCTAACACAGTGGGAGATTACACGAGATGGAAGTTGAGAACACCTGAAAGATACCAGGCTAGGGAAAGTTGAGACAGAACTTAGGGGGAGAGTGTATCTACATTATCTGATTATACCAGGCTGGCATCATGTTAATCACCATGGCTCCATCCAATGGAATTTTGGGATTTGTAGTTTGCTGGAGTGCCAAGAATTTTCTGCTAGAGAGCACTAGTGCTCTTTTCTAAACTACAGCAAAGAACTCTAAGTACCTTCCCAAACTAAAAAAACCAAAGGAGTCCATAGATTGAAGTCATGATAGATAAAGTGGGATCAGAATGCTGTAACTACATAAATACATCTTTAGTTTTCGAATGGCAGAGAACTGCTATCTAGCAAATACACAGCAGTACTTCCCTCACAGTGATTATCTGAGAAATGAACAAGTTATAACATAGTTTGCAGACTACAAATTACCTATAAGCAGTTCAAATGAGCCTTGGAAACTACTCCTCAGAATTCTGACTCCCCTTAAATTTCATTTTCTCAGCCTCATCACTGCAAGGAAATTGCTGATACTGCTCATTCCTACATTTGCTCTAAAAGGAAACAGCTCAAAAGCAAATAAAACTGAATAGTTTTTATAGTGAGTTCTAGTCATTCATCCTTCCTCTTTTTCTTAAATTTAAAGTCCCAACTCAGGATTTTTCAAAATATTTGTGTTGGCAAGACCATGGGAATTCTTGGTTACTTTGATCAATGGAATCTTGCTTTCTTTCTGTGTGCAAATGATACCTTGCAGGGCTCACAATTAGTTCATTCCTTTGAGTTTGGCCTTTTCCTAAATTTTGGTTTTGTTGGTCCCACATGCCTTTAGAAATGGCAAGTTTTGAGCTGGGAGAGGTGTAGAGCCCCTCAAGTCCACCCAGTTCAGAACCCTTCCTCAAAATCAAATATGAAAGTAGAAGTCTGGTCAGATGTGGATTTAGTTATACAAGCAGAGATTGTGTTTTTTGTTGTTGTTTTGCAATTTTTGGCCAATTCCAAGACTCACAGTGGACCACTGCAAGTGAAAATTTGGCCCCAGACCCACCAAAGTTGCCCAACCCTGATGTACTGCTCCCAAAATTAATGGTTTTCATTTAAATGGGTCTCAGGCAGCAAAGCAGTTGAGTTTTATGGAACTGTTGTGGTCAGAATTTTTTTTTAATACAAACAAGGCTAATGGTGTGCCTCAAGCCAAGTTATGTAGCAGAAAGGGTCTTGGGAAGCACTGAGCTGAGTTCAGTCAGATTCTGATCACTTGAAAATGTGAGCAGAGGTGTTCTTGAGTCTTGTGTTGCTTCATCTGTCTTCCCTGCACATGCTCAAATCCAGCTGTAACTGACCCTGACGTCTTGACCCTTGTAGACCGCCACTGAGCAGCTGAACCCTGTCGCTCCCCACAGGCTCACCTGCTTTGCCAATTTGAACAGCCAGGCGTGTGAGCTTCCCTTGCAACACGGATTTCTCCTTCTTGGGGACCTTCACTTTCTTCTTTTCCTTCTCCTCGTTTTCTACTCCTTCTTGGCTTTTCAGTGGCTGGATCTCTAAGGCCACACCATCCTGAGTTTTTGCTGGGTCCAGGATGAAACAAACAGTAAGTGAGTTGAAAGAATATCTCAGAATAGCTTCATATGTAACAAAAAGAGAAGAAAAGATAGCAGACTAAGAGAAAGAGAGAAAGAATCCTGGTGGACAGCAGCACTCACGGACACTTGGCAATATGGAAACCTATGACGTCCAGGGAGCTCTGCTCCAAATCCCTCTGGAACAGATGGCTGAAAAGTTTGTGAAATCCCCCACATCAAGCAAATACATTACTGTACTTGGAAAGAAGGACAGCCTTGCTAGGAAGGCACAGGATAAGTCTCAACCTATCAATTTCCCTGATAGACCTGCTGCCTCTGTTTAGGGCATCTCCTCCATTAGCATGTTCCCAGTACTTACCTCACAGAGATGGCAAAATGGAGGGCATGAAAAACTAAGGTATAACTAAGGGCAGCGCCCTGTTCCTTGGCAGAGACTGGTACTGGTTATATTAGAAGCAAGCTAAATAAGTGGGGTTTTATTATTACACTTGCTTTGATAGAAAGAGAAAAGCGAAAGAGGACTTCTGTGCAGCCTTTGTGTGGGATTGTAGTTGGAGGGCTAAAAAATTCAAAAGACATCTATGAGCTCTCCTTGACTATACAATATCTGTAAGGAACCCAGCAACAGAAGATAAGAGGAGCTCTTATTTTAACTGAGGAGAAGAGAACATGCCAACAGTGAATTCCAATATCTAGAAAGTCTTCTCTCCCCAGGCTCTTGTACAGTCTTTCTTAGTGCCACTGGAAGTCCCTGCCTTTCAATGTATGTCAGCATTTAGGGAGTAACAGGGGAGCAGAAAGGCAGGAGAGGGGAAGGTTAATTATGAGGCGGCAAGGACTGAGTTAACTAATGAGAAGGGAATCTGTTAGTGGGTTTCTTCTACTCCCTCCCTTCCTCCCACAGTTTTGTGATCTAGTCTAGAATTTGGAAAAGTTACTTCTTGACTACTTCAATTCAAAGAATACCAAGTCAATATGCTGGCTGAGTAATTCAGAGAAATACAGATCAAAATAATAGCTTTTCCAAGCTCTGACTAGCTCATGATGTATTGAGAATCTCTGCTAAACACAAGAGACAGATCACCAACTGGTGCACATCAGCATAATGGCAGCAATTAAAGTCACTTACCAAAGGTGGGACTTCTCTCCTAAATCCCCTGTAGTAATACTATCTTTTAACAAAACTGAATGCTGATTTTTGTTTGTTTGTTTGCTTTCTTCACTCTGTGTCTCGGTTTATCTACTGCTTATTTGCATATTTGTTAATATGGAAACGTATTTTCTACACACAGCAGGATAAAGCTCTCTCATCAGAAACAAACAGGAGAGTCCATCTATTCCCTAAAGCTGTGTAGGTTTAGATGAGTATGTGTGTGGCTGCTTTGTAACTGATCTGCACAGTTAGGATTTAAGAATATGACTCAAGGGTGGGGATCAATCCCAAAATAACCCTCAAGTGCAGGTTAGAAGGAGAGAAAACTAAAAAACTGCTGAGAAAAGAAAGAGAAAGAGAAAGGTGAAGGTGCAGGAGGGAGAACAGACAGGTGCAGAAATGGACTTCTTCACCATAGCCTGGAAAGAACAGGGGGTGAAACATATCAGAGAATAGACACTCACTTTGAATCAAAAGGCCATGAGAAGAAAAGGGTGCAATGGTTACACATGCTGGGCCCACCACAGAGGACCTGGTTTTTTAATTTTATTTTTAAAGTTCAGATCGGGGTTTGATGCTGGTCAGGGAAACAAACCTTTCTGCTCTTGAACAATTAAATGATTACTCCAGTTACACTAACCTGAAAAATTAAGCCACCCATAGAATAAGAAATCAAAACAAACACAACTACATGGGTGTACCCAAAGCGAACAAGAGTCCTCATGAGGTCCTTTACATACTACTGTATGCATTTCTTTTACATCCTGTGCATAATGGTCTATCCTTTCTTTGTAGAACTAATATGGCCTATATGAATGAGAGAGGAAAAAAATCACTTTTGCAGTCCTCAGCTCCCTGGAGGGGCTGTGAAACCAGCTACAGAAAGCAGATAAGCAAAGATGAAGGTCTAGTGGACAGAAAGAACAAGGTGGGTGGTTAACAGTGTAGTAATCATTACACCCTCTTCCAAGAACAAGGCGAGATTCCCGCCGTAGCAACAAAAAGCACAGACTCATGGGAAGAAGGAAGGAAGGAAGGAAGGAGGAATGCTCAGTAGTTAGTGTGGTGCTGGTTCAAAGGATGGAGAGGCTGGTTACCTTTGTTGCGATTTTCAGGGGCTCCGGGTTTTTTACCTGTTCAGACAAAGAGAGAAAGGGTGGAGCACTGAGCACACGGTTCTTGACATCGATGTCCCTGTTGGTGAGGACACCTGGATGCGGGGGCTCAGTGCTCTCTTCGGGGCGGGGGAGGGGAAGGGGCTGCTGGACCAGGAAGGGAAAGCTATGTATGACACATCTGCCATTTGGTCTGAGCACCATCACACAAGGACTGGAGAAGTGCAACATTTCTCCCAACTTCTACTGCAAATCCCCACCTTGAAATTCTTGCCCTCATTTACTGGAAGTAGCAAGTAGCTACAAAAGCATGCATGAAGATGAGCAAACAGAACTGTGTCTTTATGACTGAAGCATACTAGAGGTATGGTAGTCAATTTTGGTTAAGCTCCTTATACTGCACGAAACACTTTATGCTGTGTCAGTAAAAGTTTATCCTTGGGCATCAGTTTCAATCTGGAGACTTGAAAACTCTCTCACATTAAGATTTCCTAAATCAAACTTCTTCAAAACTGTCTGAGCCACTCTTAGTATGGATAAGTTGGGTAGTTCAGACCATAACGTCCATTAGCCCCAGTCCGCATGACCCATGGGCAGAAATCACGGGTCTTCAAAATATCTAAGGAAACATCAGGTAACCTACTCCTGGTATAAAGTTGCCACGTTTCTAACAAGACCATTCAGGTTGTATTACAAAGTGGAGGCAAGGTGAGAAATACATGGCTATCTCTTTTTCCTCAGGAATGAGATCTTTGGACAAACAGAACAGTTCAAAACTACTCTAAGGAAACTTGAATCTTTTTACACCTCTTTCAGTACCTTGTTTGTAAATATGGACTAACAGTAAATAACAAAAGTTGTGTTAGGACATCAAACCTGCATTAAGTGATCAAAGACACAAAGCATAAATTGGAGTGAAATGGTATGGCCTGCTTATGGCTCTGAAAGGCCTTTGTGTAACCCTTGGATTCTTCTGCCAGTTTGGCTTGGTTTCATCAAAATAAATGCCTCTTCAGGAGTGTCAATTTATAATAAAATGAAGCATTTTTATTTAACACCCCCTCCATGTCTCCTTTTCTTTTTAAGCTCACACCCCATGCCAGATTTTACATAACCATTTTGATACTTCTGGATATATGTTTTTGTTTCTTTTGTTTATGTTTCCAAGAGTGAGTCCTGGAGATAGAAAATTGGCCCTAAGATCTTGCCTTATATACATATATAGGTGTCTGTGAACCCATGGAACTCAAACATATAGACTTATGCAACCAGACCGAGTTAAAAGGGGAACAGCTATGCTAATATGGGTGCTATTATTTAAATTTTGCAGGATTCTTTCTTTTTTTACCAAACTACTTTTCTCCCTATGCAAAGAAGGCATTTGTTGACTTCATTATGCATGGGATGGGTCTGGAGTTCTCTGTTTAAATGTGCTTGAGTGACTATCTCAGTTTTACTGCTCCGAAGAATACAGTGCTGGTAATGGGGCAGATGTCACAAGGAAGCTCTCCAAGGAATAATTTTTTGCCCTCAGGGCCTGACATGTTCTCCAAACACAGCTGTTCTCCAGGATCAAGAAGCATGTGCTGCTTCTGGTTTTGCTCAGGTCTGTGTGCACAGAAACTCTACAGAGCTTTGGATAGCAACTTGTATAGTTTAAATCCTTGAAGTAGTGAAAAGAATTTTGATAGGCAAGTAGTTAGAAGTTACAGCTATTTCTGTTTCCCCACCGTTGTATTTAGATTTTAAAAAATGGAAAAGAAGGCCTCATTTGCACATGTGTGCATGTGTGCGTGTACGTATGTGTGTGTGTGTGTGTGGGAGAGAGTTGTCTCCATCTGGCTACCAAGGAAACAGCACAACTATCTCTCCTCTGCTTCTGCCTCTCATATGCTTCTGGCTAGTACGGTCCATCGCCACTGTTTCACTGGAAAATGCTCCAGTGATTGCACTATCAGGGCCCTTTTGATTCTTTTGCCTAACTTGCCAAGGTGGATTTAAAAGCACAGCTGCCTCTTTCATGAACTGTGAGCAATCCCAACCTGTGAGCAGCTGCACTGTTTTTGCAAACCGCATTCCAGTGTTCTCCTTTCACTGTCTTTATGGGAAAGCATCAAAGCCTTATTTGGAAACTAAAGCTACCATGTAAAATTCAAGTGTGAATTAACATGGCTTATTGAGAGCCAGTGTCATGCAGGGCATGCTTTCAGACTAGTCTGGACTCAAATGGGCTATTGTGCAATAATTCTCCTCACATCATGTTGAACATCTCAAGCCCTCCTTGCTTTGTTTGGGCCCACAGTTGTACAAAAGGGAAAAAAGAATGGCATACAACAAGCACACGCAAAAAATGCTACAGAAACCATTCATAATTGGTCTGTTTGGAAACAGCATAGTATAACAGGCCATAAATACCTGTTTACATTTAGCCCCAGATCATGATAGCTGGTGGGCACAGGGTGGAAAACAGAATCACTGAGTCAGATACTCCTCTCAACCAAGACAATGAAAGACAGTTGTGGAACAAAGGCATTTTATTATTATCCTCTATTCCAAGTTAAGTGTGAGGCAATGGCTTCACAGTTGTTGATTAAAATGAAAACAGAAAAGCAAAATGAGCTTGCTGTTTTGGAGACTAGGGTTTGACAAGGACTTAATCTAGTGATGGGTTAATTTCCTTTTCATGGCTCAATGAATCCCTCCTCTTAAAAAAGGCCATCTAGACCCATGTTTTTGGGAATCCCACAAGCATGCCATAAAGACTGGAGCTTTCTTTGCACCTGTTTGACTATAGTTTTCCAAGCACCTGGCATTCAGGTCTGTTTGGAAACAGCATAGTATAACAGGCCATAAATACCTGTTTACATTTAGCCCCAGATCATGATAGCTGTTGGGCACAGGGTGGAAAACAGAATCACTGAGTCAGATACTCCTCTCAACCAAGACAATGAAAGACAGTTGTGGAACAAAGGCATTTTATTATTGTCCGCTGTTCCAAGTTAAGTGAGGCAATGGCTTCACAGTTGTTGATTAAAATGAAAACAGAAAAGCAAAATGAGCTTGCTGTTTTGGAGACTAGGGTTTTACAAGGACTTAATCTAGTGATGGGTTAACTTCCTTTTCATGGCTCAATGAATCCCTCCTCTTAAAAAAGGCCATCTAGACCCATGTTTTTGGGAATCCCACAAGCATGACATAAAGACTGGAGCCTTCTCTGCACCTGTTTGACTATAGGCATAATACTATTATGGCTAAAGGCCACTGAAAGATCTTGCTCTTCATAGATTTCTCTTAATCGTATATGCAAAAAAGTGAGCTCATTCTTTAAGTGCTCACCATTACATAGGGCCAGTCAGCATCATCCAAGTCTGGTAAGAGTAAAGAAAATTCTGATTTGCAAAAAGCAAACAAAAAACCTTGACCAAAAAGCTCTAAGGAGACTGAGGGACCAAACAGCCCAGTGGATATGGCTCCATGGTGGCAGGGGAAAGGAATAGAGAATTCTTCAAAAGGGAGCTTCTGGTTGGCACTTTGTATAAGAACAGTCCACAATGCAACATTCTGACGCAGGTCTTGTCTTCCTTTTAGAAAATGACTATGCTAGCAATAAATGGCTTGTAAGCCTGTGTAGTTTGTTTTTTCCAAATTAACTTAAAGAAATACGTTCTTGAGGACACCTACTACCCATCTCCATTTTTGGTATCACCGAATGCCAGCTGAACAGGCAACATTAGACCTGGTAGAAAGCTTCTTTGCTTCTTTTGTATTGCCTATATCTTGGATTTATAGCATAAGATATACAACACCCAAAATTTCTCTCTTAGAGCCCAAAAGATCTCAGTTCGACATTCACTGTCATGTGAGCATGTTGTCCAGTCTACTAACCAAGCATTAATACAACTAAGGAACTCTGAGCATATGCTTCCCATAGAAAGCCTGGTTCCTGAAGCATCTTACCTTTCTTGACCTTCTTCTCCTCGTCCCCTTCTCCAGCACCCAGAAGAGTAAAAATTATTCCAGTTTGTGAGTTGATGCCTACAGCTGTGACCACCATTCGACCAGAGCCCTCCATCACATGTGTACCTAGATTTTTTTTTAAAAAAAGGCAAATGAAATGTGAAAAGAACTGGAGACCAGAATGAATGGAGGAAGTCCAATTTATATTGCAAAAAGCTGAGTAACTAGGAGTTGATCGCTAATTTGTGTCTGGGCTTCCAGGCCTCCATGGATGTCTCATGCTATGCACGGAGTTCCTATGTGTACTGCCTTCTTCCTTCATCTCAACAGAAGGGCAGCAGAGCTCATCTGCAGAGCTAACCCCTCTATTCAAAAGGAATAAGGAAACTCAATTTGCAAAGCCCACAAGCCCAAAACAGACAGTGCATGAAGGGCAATTTTGTTTCATCTGAACCATCCTTATACAGTGGTGCCTCGCTAGACAGTTAACATTAAACAGGTTTCAATGCATTCCAATGCTTTTCGCTAGACAATGATTTCGCTAAACAGCGATTTCAGTGGAACGGATTATCATCATCTAGCGAGGCACCACTGTATATTCATTTGATACAAACTGATGCAAAAGTAAGTTATCTGTGAGTCTAGAGAAGGGAGATTCTGCTGGGCTACAAGCATGGATTCATGCTCTACAATAGCCATTCTCAACGGAGGGGCACATTTGAAGGGAACCACATACAGGTAACAATTCTTCACACCTCACCTTACAGGATTTATTATGCAACGTATACAATCATGATTCAGCCTATATTGCTTTCATGTTGTGTTCATCACTGTGTCCTCATTGGGATTGAAACAGGTGCAGAAAGATGGCTACACTGGAACATTTTCAAAGAAAAAAGGAGGAATATGCTGCCTGCGTCTGGAGCTTCAGCACTATTAAATGAAGTAAGGAACCATCTCTCATAACAAATGCTGGGAAGTAATTATTAAATGAAGTAAGGAACCATCTCTCATGACAAATGCTGGGAAGTAGTAACGTCACCCCACCAACTATTGGTCCTGAGCCCTCTGGACATGCCCATCTGTTGGAAGGGCAGAGCCGTACGTTCTGCAAGGCCTACCCTGCACACATTAAACTAGCCTATTGCCCTCAGGTGCAGTGGAGGGCAATATCTTGTCACCACTGTTGAATTATGACCCAGCTGCTGGTTCAGTTTACTTCTGTACTTCGAATTGTGTATGTGCTGAGGTATGTGTGTTCTCTGCTTCAGGCAGCAACTTCAAGAAGCATGACATCATTGCTTCTATACAGTACAGAGGATGGCAAATTGGGCTCGGGTTATTATGGCATGCAGATGCTGGGAGGATAAGATGAAGCCTTAACCCATAGGCTCATGATTTGACTGCTGACCCTAACATATGCAGGGCTCTATGCTGGCTATCTCATATGAAAGGCTCACCAGAAAGCAGCATGGGGTCTTTATCCAGAGATTTCTTCACATGGTCTGATTCCCCAGTCAGAGAGCTCTCATCAATTTTTAGATCGTTGCCTTGGAGCAGGATCCCATCTGCTGGCAACAAGTCACCTGGAAGAAGCAGAAATCAAAGTGTCACCATAACATTCATCAGTTCTCCAAGCCAAGGCTGCTACATTGTCTGTTGTTTCTGAGTATTATACATTTTACTTCTTCTTTTTTTTACTGAGCATCATACTTCACGTGTAATACTCTGCTACATATCCATTTTTATTTTAATTACAAGCACAGCTAATGTGATTCATAAGAATGAAGTCACAAAGGGACTCTCCAGTGTGACTAAAACAACACATGGGTGCCTTTACACACCACAAAATTCTCTTTGATGCTAATAAGAATTTTCTTCCAGGGCTCCTAGCCACACAAGTAAGTCCATGTCTTTCTAAGAAAGGGAGGTTTCATATCCATTTTTATTTTAATTACAAGCACAGCTAATGTGATTCATAAGAATGAAGTCACAAAGGGACTCTCCAGTGTGACTAAAACAACACATGGGTGCCTTTACACACCACAAAATTCTCTTTGATGCTAATAAGAATTTTCTTCCAGGGCTCCTAGCCACACAAGTAAGTCCATGTCTTTCTAAGAAAGGGAGGTTTAATTCCATGTATGTATGTATGTATGTATGTATGTATGTATGTATGTATGTATGTATGTATGTATGTATGTATGTATGTATGTATGTATGTATGTATGTATGTATGTATGTATGTATGTATGT